CAGATTCAGAATTTAAGCGAATATCATTTATTATCTTAATGAGCGCTGTCTCTGTTCTGTGATGCGGTCGGAAACCAGATTGAAAATTGTCCAGGTATCCATTTGAGTTTAAGTAGTTGTTCAGCTGATTAAAAACTACCTTTTCAATAATCTTGCCTATTAAAGGAAGATTTGATATTGGTCTAATAAATAGTTTACTTAGCGTTATTTTTGTGAGTAAAGCGCATCCTCATATTAATAACAGAAAAGGTGCGTCTCATTTCGCTCCCGATATCGTGAATAAGTACATCGTTCAAGTACAAGAAAGAAGTAGAAATTAATCATTCGTAAAATGATTCAGTGATTCGAATTAGCGCGCGCAGACGATAAACGAGAACAACAAACACATGTTCAATGAAAACTTTTACAAACCAGCTGCAAATGTTTTCATGAAAGTGTAATCTATTTATTATGATGTACAAATAATTGAATACCAAATATAAATCATAAATACCCACTATTACCATTATGTATAATTTATATGTATATTTTATCAGGTAATTTAAGTCCCATTAACGATCTCTCCCTTCCCAGTGCGCTGACTACTGAACTAGGGAGCTGATTGAGACGCATCCAGAGATTTAATTTGCATTTATTTTTGAGAGCAAATTACTTTGTTAATTATTTTCTTCTTAAACATGACAAAGTGTCCAAACACACAGGAAAACTCCTGCTGAAGCAACTGAGATCCACGTGGGAAAAAAAAACAATAGACACCATCACAAAATTTTTAATGGTTTTACTGGTTATAGTGGGACTAGTATTGGTTTGAATGGAAATTGTAAAGGACCCTGTGGGTCTCTACTGGAAATTGGTCACTTTCTATTGGTGGCTTAAGTGTTAAAACCAATAAATCCTAATGGAATATGTCCCAAAACACACTACAGAAAACCATTTTTAATGGTTTTAATGGTTAAAAGTTGATGGTTTGTAATGGTATTTGTGGTGGAAACCATTAGAATTTTCTGTGATGGTTCTATTGTTTTTTCCAGCAGGGATGGCGTTTATTAAAGAGGAGAGTGAAGACATGAAGACTGAAGAAACATTTAGAGTCAAACATGAAGATACTGAGGAACAAACAAAGATGTCGTTTATTAAAGAGGAGAGTGAAGACATGAAGATTGAAGAAACATTCAGAGTCAAACATGAAGATACTGAGGAACAAACAAAGATGGAGTTTATTAAAGAGGAGAGTGAAGACATGAAGACTGAAGAAGCATTCAGAGTCAAACATGAAGATACTGAGGAACAAACAGGTTGGTTTTCATTCTCAAAGCGGAACTCACTCATCTGATCCTTATTAAAATGTTCAGCTCTACTGAAATGATTGACTACGTTTACATGGACATCAGTAATCTAATTATTTACCTTATTCTGAATAAGACAATATTACGATTATGGTGTTTACATGAGTTGATTTCAGAATATTCCTTTCATGTTCCCGTTTTACATCTTATAGTACAAAGATCGATTAATGGCACGTCATTACGTCACCAAGCGACGCCATCCGACATCCCCTCCAGAATTTCACGTATAAACATATAGTTTGTGTTCGTTATGATGCCATATACAGTTTTGGGCGTTTCATTTTTAATTTTATGAAAGCTAGGGGGGCGTGGCAGAGTCTTAACTTTGATAAAGAATATCTCTTTGGTTTTGAGACTTTAGTCTTTGCAACTTCAGGGATCTTATCTATGCACAATCAGCTTGTAACACTCCAAAGAGAAAGGAAAACTTGAAATCGCATCATATGACCCCTTTAATTCGATTTCTGTTTACCTCGAATATGACTTTAGCCGGATTAAGGTAATCAAAAATCTCTGTTTACATGGTAGATTCTTAATCAGAGTATTGGCTTAATCGTGTTAAAATCGGATTATTGTTGTCCATGTAAACGTACTCCATGATATTTATGAAGAATTTATGAGTGTAGTAATTAAAGCGGTTTGTTGACAGACATGTTGAGATCACATAACCAGACAAATAATAACACTGCCTTCAAGTGCAGCTGAGAAGATCCTGCTTTCACATTGTGCATTTGTTATTATGACATGCATTTAAATTGTAACAATAATACGGAATTAGCCTAAAAAAAAATCTGCTTCTAAAATTAAAACCATTAATTTCTAGCACTTAATTACGCAAAAATATCTAACAAAATCGTTGCTTAAAGCAAACCTTGAAATGTGAGTGATTACATTTGGCTACTGCATGCTGTCTACATTTGTTAATTTAAAGGGATTTGGTGAGCAAATAAAACAGCCAGTGGACACTAAGGCTACGTCTACATTAATCCAGATGCACATGAAAACGGTGTTTTCATTTTAAAACGCTCTCCATCCACACTAGCGCTTTTAAAGCATTTTCCAAAAGTTTCTTATGCACACTGAAATATCAGAAAACTTTAAATTGGCTTTACTGTGCATGCGTAAAGCCTCAAACAGCTCACTGAGACGATACTAGAGATGGGCATTTTCCACAAATATTACATTTAAATATTTGAGCTCATAAACGAATATTCATTTATTCAAATTAAGTTTGAGACAGATTTTATTTAATTTTTTTTATCGAAGCTTAAACATCAAGCTACATCGTGTTTTGTAGCTAAAAACATTAAACAAAAAGCATTTAAAGGCAGAGCGAATTAAAAAAATGCCAATAAAGCAGACTGCAGTTATTATTGTACAGAATGTACATAGCTTTAAACTTTTTTAACTTGTCAGCATATCTTTTCTATATTGTTTTACATGTTCTTGATGAGGAAAACAAGCATGTCATTATGATCAGGTAAAAGTGTCCTCCTTATGGCTTGTTCACACGGGGACGAATATCGTGCGCGATTATCGCCGACATTTAACGCCTCGTGACTAAACAAAGGGCGCCAATGTGAGTGTGCACCGACGCGCAAACCGCGAGGCGTAAAAGCGTAAATTTTTTTTTAAACGCCTCTGGCTCGTTTTAGTTGGCGATAAGCGTGCGCGATAATCGTCCCGGTGTGTACGAGGCTTTAGTCTATTAAAGAGGTCATAACATGGATTTTTTAAATGATTATTTTAATAGGTTCCTTGAGGTTTACTTATAATGTTAATAAAGTTTTTCTGCACAAAACAACAACAACAAAAAACAAACAAACAAATAAATATGTGGGAAAATTATTTTCAACCCTCATTCTGAACCTCTCTCAGAAACAGGCTGTTTTTAAGGGGCGTGTCCTTTAAGGCTTCTCAGGAATCTGCCACTGTTATGATTGGCTAACGTCATTGCATAGGAAACAGTATCAACTCCCCCTCACTATTGCATGTTTTGTGTGTTTTGACAACATAATCCAAATAAAACAGTCATTTCCAGACAAAGCATTATTAAAGGGTTAGTTCACCCCAAAATGAAAATTCTGTTATTAATTACTCACCCTCATGTCGTTCCAAACCCGTAAGACCTTCGTTCATCTTCGGAACACAAATTAAGATATTTTTGATGGAATCTGAGAGCTGTCTGACCCTCCATAGACAGCAACGTAACTGTAATGTTCCCAGGTCCAGAAACGTAGCAAGGACATCGGTAAAACAGTCCATGTGACATCAGTGGCTCAACTTCAGTTTTGCGAACGAGAATACTTTTTGAGCGCAAAGAAAACAAAAATAACTAACTAAATAATAATTTTTTCAACAATTCTTCTTCCCTGAGTTACGTCTTCCGCCATTTTGGAGAGTACCCAAGAGCGTAATCGACGTAATCAGCGTTGTTTACGTTCGGGGGAGAAAGCGCGCGCATGAACGTAATCTGCGCAATCAGTGTTGTTTACACTTAGGAGAAAGCGTGCGTATGTGTTGTGATACTCTCTAAAATGG